CCTATATTATACCTAAACTAGTAATAAAATTAAAAAGAACCCCTATTTAATATTAAATTATATCTAAATTTACCCCTAAATAATAATAGCCTAGAGTTATAATAGTAAAAGTAAATATAATAATAAAAATACTACTAAGGATATATTTAAATATATCTCTTTAATAAAGATATATTATAATAAACTTAAGTTAAATATAACCTAATAGTAATTATAAACTAAAAGAGAATTAATAAATAAACTTCTTTTTTTAATTAAAAATAAATATAAAAATAAGATAAAGAAAATCTAATAGAAGTACTTCTAAACCTAGGCCTAGGTAAAAGCTTAAATAACTTTAATAAGTATATTAATAATATAAAAATTAATTTAGATTATTATATAAGAAAATTATTATATAAATACGTAAATAAAGCTAAGTAAAATCTTAAGCCCTTTTTACTTAAGTAAGATCTTATATTAAGGTAGTTATAGCCTAAGGCCTAAAGGCCTTTAGAACAGTCCTAGTACCTACTTATTATAAGAGAGAATTAGTTATTAAGGTAAAAGATTACTTATAAAAAATTAAAAATTAAATATTATAAAAAACTATAATTATAATAAATAAAGTTATTTCAATTAGTATTATAATAATTATATATAACTTTTTATTTAAAAATATTATTTTATTTTTTTATTAAAAAGTAAAAGATTATATTAAAAATAAGTATTAAATTAAAACTATTTTTAAACTAAAAGTATTTTTTTCTTAAAGAATCTACTTTATAATAATTAAAGTTATATTATTTAATAAAATATTATAAAATATTAATAGTTTTATTATAATACTTTTTATTTTTAATAAAGTAAATATAATTATAATCAAAATAAAATATCTTTAAATTAAAATTAATATAAAAACCTTTTTAATTATTAATATTTATAATATTAATATAATAAACTAATTATATAAATAAAAAGCTTTTTTTAACTTATAAATATTTTAATATAAATCTTATATAAAGTTAGTTTAGCTTTTATACTATTTTTAATATTATTAATATAAATATATTAAATAATTTTATAAATAAAAAAAGATATAAAAGATATATATACTAACTTTATATTAAAACTAAGTTATATTTAGTAAAAAAAGATTATATAAAGAAATAATACTTAAATTATAAAAGTTATTACTTAGTATAGTTTTAAGTATATTTTATTATATAATAATACTAAGGCTAGGCCTAAGAAGCTTATCTTTATTACTTAACTAAATTTAAAGTATACTAATAATAACTTAAAAGACTATTAAAATCCTTAAGAATATTTTTTCTTTTAAAAAAAGTAAATAATAAATAATAACTAAAAAGATACCCTTTTAAGACTAGCCTTATTTTATCTTAAAGACTTTATATTACCTAATTAAATATATTTAATTTTAATAATATTAAAATTATAATACTTAAGCTATTAATACTTATAAAGATCTTATAATAAAACCCCTTTACTCTTAATCTTATCTTAACTTTTTCTTATATATTATTATTTAAAACTTAAAAAATACCCTCCTTTTTAATATTAAACCCCCCTAATAATAACTAACTTAACTATACCTTAAAATATTATTATATAAAACCTAGCTTTACTTAAATAAATAAATAAAGATTCTTTTAAAAAATATTTATAAAGATAATAATAATATTTAACTAGTTATTTATAAAGATAATACTTTAAATATTATTATAATCTAAGAAATATTCTTAAATAAACTACCTTTTACCCTTAATATAGTTTAATATTAATACTTATAAAGGGGTAAGAGGACTATAATTTATATATATAAAAAGGTTAATAAGTTTAAATAAGAAATAGTTATAAATTATAATATTTATTATATTTAATTTTAAAATAATCTCTTAATTATTACTAATATTTACTTAAAGCTAAGGTTAAACTTAAGGCTCTTCCTCTATAGCTTTCTTTTAACCTAAGGTATTTTATATATAATAGTAAAAGATTTTAATCTTTATTACCTATTTTAAGATCTTTATAAAAAGAAATTATTATAAATAAATAAAATAATTAAAATACTAGTTTAAATTAATA